TTTGCTCGAAAGTAAATTACTCATGGAGAGAGAAATATAAAAGATGAGAAGATAGATTCTAAAACCCGTTGCTCGAAAGCAAATTGCTTGTGAAAAGAGAAATGTAGAAGAGGAGAAGATGATTAGTATATGAGTGATTAATACAGAAGGAGATATTTCCTCCTCTTAAAATTTAAAATATGATATTTTACCAACAAAAAAAAAATAATGTAATCATAGTCCATCTAACTCAATAGATAGAATATAAAACTCTTAACCTTCTATCAAAAAAAACATTTTACCTTGTGGTCGTGTGTTTCATCTCGTATTACTCAATATAACTAAGGATAACAGTTATTAAAGTCTTTATTAAATTTATATCTCATCAATGCCGGATACAACTTTGTTATATTAGACTATGTTACCAACAATTAATATGAGCTTTGATGGTTGATATCATAAGAATATATACAGATTATTTAGGTAATTTATTCATCCATTGATCAAATAATTTTTAATGGTTGAGTTATAGATGACGCGATGAGAAAGATTAATGAAATAATTTCTCTTTTATCAATGTCTATATAGAAATTTTAGCAGAATCAAGGAGGGGATAAGCGTCATCATTTTCAAGTTAAATACTCAAGTAAGTGTTCAACTTTTTATGATTATCACACAATAGTTTAACCTTTTAAAATGGTCAAATAAGGGCCCAACATTTATAACATGATCGAATAAGGGCCTAACATTTTAAAACAGTTGAATAAAGGCATAACATTTGTAGATATGCTTAATTAAGGGTTACCATTTATGAATCTACTAAACTAATAATAAAGGAAGAAAGTTTGTTGTCGAAAAAGTTAATTCGACAATATTTTAGTATATTCTAAAACATTAGGTCCTTATCGAGCCTTCTTAAAATATTAGACACTTGATGTATAAAACAAATAATAATTTAATGACATTTTTCGTCTAAAACAACATATATTAACACGATGCTTAACAACGTTTACCTTTAAAATACCATAGCATTTCTAGATATGCTAAATTAAGGGCCTAACATTTTTGAATATGCTCATATAATTATAAAGAAAAAATATTATTGAAAAAGTTAGATCCTTATTTGAGTAGATTAAAAATTATTAGAACCATATCTGATCGTCTTAAAATATTAGACACTTATTTAAATAAATTTAAAAAATATTCGGCTACTATGCGAAGAAGCCTCAAAAGATTAAGCTCTTATTTATGCAGTACTCCTAATTTTATATGAATCACACCATTTTTTTTCAAATGTCAGTTATTAAATTTGGCGCAAAAAAAAAACGAACGGTTTAATGATATTTTCCCTCCGAAACAACATATATTAATATGGTAATTGACTGTATTTGTATTTAAAATACCGTTGCAGTTGTAATACCCAATTTGAATTAGTCGATCAATAGATCGAAAATTAGTGATTTTTTTTGGATAAGCAGAATTTTATATTTTTTTGGATTAGTGATTAATTCTAAAATTACCGTCATATTTTTAACATGAAACACAACGTTTTTCCTTTTTCTTTTTTATATACTTTGGTTGTTGAGGCTCAAATTCTTCAATATAATTTATTTATTTTTCAAAATTTTACATTTTATATGATAGATAAATATTGTTGTTCAGTGATTAAATTCGATGTTAATTTAAGGCATAATATTAAGGTTTTTTTGGTAATTATTCGAATTTGTGTAATTTTATAATTTAGAAATATAATGTTGCTAAACGAAAAAAAAAAAAAAAAACCTTAACGGATAATAATGTAATACCACCTTACCTTTTAAAGCCACCCTGCCTGAATCATCACCATTTCTCAATATATACCCACAGTTTTTCTCAATTTCCTCACTCAATTTCGATATACAACAGCCTCCTCCTTCACTTCTCCAAGTAATATCCCATGGAAACATTGTCTTCCAGCGAAACAAAGCCTCTGAGCGGCGGCCGTGGTGGCGTTGGCAATAACAAACCACTGGATCCTAATGCAAAGGAGTGGTCACCCAAGATCAACGGCGCTCGCGAGGAAGATCGGTGCTTGTTCATAACATTCTCCAATGGACACCCGATACCCGAGCACAAAATTATGAGATTCTTCAGACTGTAAGTGTATATTGCCACTGTTTATTTATTACATGTTTTTTTTCTTCTTCTTTATCATGTTTGAGGGATGTTTTTGTTGCAGGAAATACGGGGATTGTTTGGAGAGGGTGTACGTACATTGGCCTGCACCCCAGGATGTTGAACAGACGAAAATCTCAACGCCGCAGTTCGGGAAGGTTGTTTTTAAGAATAGTTTGATCCCATCGGTGCTGACACTGTGTGGGCAAAAGTCGACCAAGTTCATCGTCGATGGCAAGCCGCTCTGGTGCAAGAAGTTTGATATCAGCAAGAGTCAAGCTTCTAAGAAGAACTCGACTGATCCATGATGATTGGCTCCCATTAATGAAGATTTTATTTTTGTTGTCGTGTGTAGTATGTTTTTGTTGTTTGGTACCGACCATGTTTGGGAAAGAACAGTGGAATCCGATGAGTACACTTCAGGTTTAGGGTTTTTATTAATATTCTAAACGCAAAATAAGATTGACGGGGTTTTGCCCTTATATATGATATGTTCCTTCTAAAGTTAATCTAATAAGATGAATTGTAAATATAATATATTAATATTTGATTTTAATTAATAGATTAATAAATTAAGTACTATGATTATATCTAAAACCGGTATCATTTTGAAAAGTTTCATGGTGAAAATTATTTTACTTTATCTTATAGTATCAAACTTGGAAGGTTGTTTCGTGAATTTGAATATGGGGCAATGATAAAAGAATTATTTAATAGCACTTAAAACCACATACATTTGAAAATATTTTAGGACATATATTAACAATGTTTTGACAGACAATGCTTGTAAATGCAAGAGATATTTCGTTCATAATTTAAATTAAGATTTAGGTGGATTTTCCTATATAAATTATAAATTTAATAAAAATATAGGATTTTTTTTTTTTAGATTTTTATGAAACAGAACGATATTAATTAATTTTTGAATAAAATAATTTCCTGGTATAAATTGACCTCACAATCAACATTGTAGCTCTGCCATTGGTTACGATTTTGTATAACCTATTGAGAGGCTTATACCTGAAACGTCATTAACATATAATATATGAGAATAAACATTTTAAATAATTATGTTTTAGCTTGAATTTACCATATTTATCGGTATTTTAAGCCAAAAAGACCTGTAAAATTAATAATTGAAAAATAAAATTATCATTCTTGATGTTTTTATAAATAAAAATTATGCTATTCATCAAATAGGTAGAAGGGAATTGTGGTCGTTGTTTTTATTGGTTTATTGATTTAGTGCTAAAAATGTTAATTTTTCGGATAATGTGATTAAAAAAAGAATTTGTAAAATAATGTAATCGAATAATTATTTTCCGGAGAAGCGATGGGACCGGACCCTCTGCTCCGCTAGTAGACAACGGCTTAGCCAGGGCTTTCAAGGCGGGTCGCATTTTTCAGACCCTTCTTCCATTCCGGATCCACCGAGTCTTCGTCTCCCCTTTCCTCCGCTGCGTCCAGACAGCCTCCGAGGTCGTCGCCGCCCTTTGCGCCGTAGATGTCGACGCCAATGGCAAGTCATCTAAGGACGTCATGAAACTCGACCCATCAAAAGTCAAGGTTCAGATCAATATGCATTAAAAAGTAATTTCTTTCTTTTTCATTTTCTTTTAAAAAAAAAAACTTTTTATTTGTTGTATTTTACAGGTTTCTATTATGGATTATGTGAGATGTTAAATAAAGAAGCAATTAGGGATGATGTAGCGCCTAAAGATGGAAAGTTTCGTTTCGATGTTCCACAGCTTGAGTCTATGATACCAAGTGGCACATTGGATCCTAGTGTTGAACGAGTTTATAAAGAGGTAATATTATTCGAATCTGATTATCGATAACATACAATCACTTCTCTAACTCCTGTTAGTACTGTCCACTTTATGCTCCAAGCGATCGAGGAAGTGATAGTACATTACTGATTGATTTGTGTTATTCAATATCTAAATTATATAAGAATCTATCCGGACAAAATTTCAGTTGCCGCAATGGGAAGAGACAGTGACGGGTTCTAGAAGTAGATATGAACAAGTTATCAAGGCATTGGCTGATAAATACCCTCTGAAAACTTGCTATTAGTCACACATGGGAAGTAAGCTTCTAGCAAACAAGAATTATAGTGATTTCATCTTCTTCTGCTTGCATATTTACCCATTTGTTCTCTGTTTCATACATGCCAGGGGAAGGAGTTGGAGTTTCGGTTTCCGGGTTCTCAGAGAAAACGACCGTCGTCGACGACGTAGAATATTGTAGTTATTTGGAGTTAAGAAGATCGATGTCATCCAAAAACGGGTTGATCACCGCTGGAAACTTTGAGGTGCTTACAAAAAGTGGTCAGACTGGGATTACTTTTAACTGAATTGTGCTTCAATGGTAATGTTATGGATTCTTTGCCTTGAAATCATGAAAGAAGATGACTTAAGTTTCATCTCAAGCTTATTACATCTGAAATCTTGTATCAGTTCTTAAAGTAATTGTTTTGATAAAAAACCATCAGTTTTACTTCATGAGCCTGTGTTTGTTCTTACCACATTGACAAATTGGACAAAGTACAAAGGACATTAATGCCATTATTTCAAGGGGAATAATAAAAAGGAGACATTTAGGCAAGTTTTGTTCAAAACATATAAGAAATTTGAAATAAAATGGTCTCCACTTGATAAGTTTAATCAAATTAACCTCGACTTTGACGAGTTTGATCAAATTAGCTCTCAATTGTGATATATTACTATAAAAAAGTTAAACTTTAGAGCAAGAGTGACTCTCCCTCCATTGATGAAAACATTGACAAAAAGATATACTTCATCATCCATAACAAAAAAGTGTACCAAGAACAACAAGAAATTCAGTTTGATACTATAATTTAAAGCAACTAGCTAAATCACAAAATTAGAAGTAAATGTATTGAGCATGTACAAAGAAAGAAATAAGGAATTCATGAACGATGAAAATATATGCCTATTGTTTGCGAGGGCCAGCACTGATTTCAGAGCCAATGGCGGCCTCTTCTGGAACAATTTCCATATCGACAATACCATTCTGATCATCAGTCACCTGTTCACAAATTTCCATATCACCACATTTTCCATCTTCAACACTCTTTTGAAGTTCCGATTTAGTTGTAGAAGGTTCACTGTTGCTAAGAAGTACTTTCTCACCTGAATCATCTGTTTCTCGAGCTGCAACTTCAGTAGTTTGTTGGCTGTCACCGTTATGTGTCGATGTTGAATGATTTTGGGATGTTTCAGTGCATTCAGCCATACCGTCGTCCACTGCCTTTGGTTCGTAACCAAGACCATCAGCAGTTTCCAGATTAACATGATCACCATCTGATTGGAAACCAGCATCAATAGAATGAGTCTTATTTTTGTTCTCATTCTCACTTTCTGATGCCATTGATATATCCAGATTCGGAGCACCTGAAGGTTTCGCAATATCAAGCACTTGTGTCTCCACAGCAGAGCACAAGGATGGGGAGACTTTCCCAGGAGCAGGCATCGATGGCACTGAAGATTCATTACTCTTGCTACCGAAATCATCTTGATGAGTCGCTGTGCATGGCTTTGAAAGTTGTTCTGTTTGGGGAACCTCATCTGGTTGTGGATCCACAGCCATCGCACTTTCATGGCAATTTTTGTTAAAAGTTTCTTCACATCCAACTTTAGCACTTAAAGCATCATCATTGGAAGGTGAACTCATTCTAGGACCCTTGTTGTTAAAAGCTCCGTCTCTATGCTCCAGGAAGACATTACCAGCTACAATTTCCTCACTAAGTGATGGTAATTCAGGAGGATGAATAGTGGAGGGTGGGTCAACACCCATCTCAGAACCGGATATTCCTTCTTCAGCAGTCTCACCATTTATACCAACTACCTGATCAACTGATTCACTGCTGAAATCATTTGCAATCCCAGCAGGAGACTCAGAGGAATCAGCGGAACCATTTTCATGATTAGACAATATGTTCCCGTCTACACAAGGATCCTCATCAGCTAATCCTCTGTTTTCTTTAGCAGAAGCCACCGGCACACTTCCTTGCTCAATGCTATCCTTTGTTTGTTTCTGAACTTCAACAACTAGTGAATTTAGCTGTTTCTGCACATATATTGCTAAAGAAACGGCATGATCACGGATCAAAGAATCATGAGGAGGGCAATGTAGCATGTCCATTAAAGCTTTGTGGTACTGAAATACGCTGGCAGTAGGCAAAATAGATCCTTTTTCATGACAGACCTTTATGACCTTTAAGACGTGCTCACAAAGGTAGCCCATCTCTGCCCAAGAACAATCACAGACCCCAAACTGAGAGCCGGGGTTCCAAACAACATAAAAAGTGTCTCGATCAAGCTCATCAGTCACCTTTGCAGATCTTCCTTCGATGGCAACATCTGAATCAAGAATCTTCAACGCCTTCCGCCAAGATGTCAAACCACTTACCCACTCATCCTTCCAATATCGTGCAAAATCATCTTTCCCCGAATATTCATCCAGCCAAAAGTAGGAATGCACTTTTGTACCCAACTTATCAACCAGCCAATCAGCGCGCTGGTATGCAGCAGGATCCTTCTCATTCAACAACCGGAGCTTCAGTTGATTGTGGTAAAACTCCATTGCTGCACAAGTCTCCAGGCTTGCAAGTGGAAGAGATTTAAGTGAAGAGACCCAAGCCCCTGAAACAAGGAGAAAATTATCATTTCTTTTTCCACAAGTTAAAAGGGTTTCACAAAGGTGAAAGATGCCTTCATCTATTGGTGAAAGATTTAAATCAAGAATTTGGGAACAGGGATAAATTAGATGAGAAGAAATGGCCAAAGTAGCAACGAACTTATTCTAGGATACCAGACTGCTTTGAAGTAATCCAAAAAATGCGAGCAATCGACAAAATCTTCCATGAATTTCTCAAACAAATCCACATTTCCACATCCTCTGCAAATATCATCAATGATCAACCCAAGTCGTCTTGATATCTCAATACGCATCTCTGTCTCTGCACATCTCTTCAATAAGTTTTTATGCCATGCGTGGCGGACCCGCCAAAAGGATATCAATATGGAGCACTCAAAAACATCCCTGAATACAATGTAAAGAAATATTGTATGACACAGAGCACATTACATATATTGATAAAAGAGAGCAAATATGATTACCCTTCACCGAGCTTGAATGATGTAACCATTTCAAAATACCACCAAAGGAGCTCACTTAATCAAGCTACACTAGGGTCTTCCTAGTTTAAATCGAAAGAAAGTGAAAAATGCAATCCCTCAGTTTGTTCCATATTTATTAAAATTATATCAGCAGAGAAACCCCAACGCTAGAGAACACACAAGAGATAAAACCAAGCAAGGAGCTGATGCACAAAATGAACAATCTTGAAACAAAAGGCATCAGATGCCTTGCTTTAACAGAAACAAGGAAGTTGACATTCTAATGCTACTAACCAGTGGATCCTACATCTAATAACTAACAAAGGGAAATTGAAGAAATCATATGAGCTCATACTCCTCAGTCCTTACCGTACACAATACACGATAGAACAATATTCTTCCACCACCTATTTAAAGTGTATTAGTAAATAGTAGTGTAAAGTCAGCTCAGACAAAGGCCACACCACCATACCTAATTGTATGCACATCAATCGAAGGATCATCAACAATAAACCCAGCCAACTTCCAAGTAGGATCTTTTGTGCGAACCCTGTTGTATAGAGCCCTCATCCATCTATGAGCATCTACAGTAGCAAACCTTGGGGTTATTATCCAAGCTACAGGGATTGCTTTCTTGTCTGAATTGAAAACAATGAGACTGTGTATAGGATACTGAAAATAATTCATAAAGAGCATGGTTAGATTCAAAAACATTAGAAGAACTCATGGACTGGCAGTAACAGCTACAGTTACAAGAGTGAGACACATAACTTGAGAGGTAAGTGGTTGAGGGAAGGCAAAGAAAGGAAAAGAGACAAACCTGAAATTTATTTGTTCCAAACCTTGAATCAGAGGCAAGGAGGCTGTGATTTCCAAATCGAATCATTTGTTGCAACTGCCACTCAGTTTGAATGCCCAAGACAAAAGGGTCTGAATCAGTGAAATCCTCGTAAAAGAATACATAATTCTGGTGGCTTTCAACCCACATGCTTACACTGACAGCATCATCTGCATCCAACTCATATGTAGAACGTCTAATGCTCCTCTCCTGTCTTCTAACATACCTGTGGGTTAGAAGGTCATCTCGGTTGTATGGACCACCCTGTTTCTCTACAGATTCATTGTGCCGCTGCATTATGGTCTCCACAGAGACCCCAACATGCAATAAAGATAAAACACGGAGGCGCAGATCCTCTGAGATGTATGGTGCAAACATAGCACGTGTGCCAGCTGCCTTTTTGTCCTGTGGCCCATGGCATGGTAACCCTTTCTTATCCACATGCTTATCCTGGTTATATATTATCAATGCCACTGACGGTTCAGCAATTAAACGTTTTACAATAAAGTGACAGGTGCATCCTCTTTTCGTATTAGGTCGGCCAGCATTTGTCTTCTTAGGAATGTATGTATTCCGGCTGGGTCGTACAAGACCCCCTTTCCTATGGTCATCAGGGCCAAATGAACACCAATACCTACAAGTTCAACAGTGTAAATTTAAACACAAACAACTGTAGTGCAAGACCATTGAGCACAAGCTATCAAAAGATTTTTAAAAAAGATTGAAAACAAAACATGGAAGAAAAGAAGGAGAACCTACAGGATATATTCAAGAATGCCATCAACCTTTGGCTTGTAAGGTGCCTTTGCTGTTCTCCGCCTTCTTGCTTCAACATGAAATCTAGTTGGACAATCTTTGTTAGAGGATTCACCCCTAACAAAGTCATCCACTCTAGCGAAAGGGATCAAAGCAACTCTATCTATATTGTCACGCCAACCTTCCACCTTTGACCATACAAGATCATGTGCAGAGAACTCCAAGGTTGGTGGATTTTGTACGGGAAGAGACAGAATCTGATCCCATCTAGCCATCTACATAGAAGAATCAGTGATTACACTACCTGTCAGCAAAAGTAATGCAATATTTTAACCATGGGAAAATCCCATCAACAATAAACCCAAGTTACAACAACTCATTTACCTAAGTTCACGACAAGGCCATTCAAACCACATAGAAATTATCATCGAGACCTCAGTTTATTAATATAAGTTGTCATATTCTTGGCCAAAATGAAAGAAACAGAAACCTTGTGCAAGAATAATACTTAACTCAGGCGGCTTCAACCAAATTTCAGTGAACTTGGAGCATAATACAAAAAGAAAATTGCACAAAAACAAAACAAGTGGACGATAAGTATCCTCCGAGGTTCTCTATCAAAACAGAAAAACCATTCAATTAGCCTCTTCAAGAGCAAAAAGTTTTAAGTCTTTAATATCCCAAGACTAAAAAAAATTCCATTCCTTCATTCCACCTCAATCATTACTCCCAGTAAACCAATGAAACCTTAAAAGCTCCAGCTTTTTGCTCAACTAAAAGAAAAATTACATGGAAAAAATATATATATCTTTGAACACTATTAAGCTTATATAAGATATGACAGATAAATAAAGATATAAAAATTAAGCTAAATGGTTACCTGGTAAAGGCAGCTCAAACCAACTCCTTTATTTCTTCCCGGCCTTTCTTTACGCAGACAACACAGTGACACACGGAAGGAGAGTGAGAAAAAGAAAAACACCCATTGTGCGCCGTGATTAATATTTCATATTTATTTATCCAAAAATAATAATAATAATATTTCATATTTTGCAGTAGAGAAACCCTTGTTGTATCTCATAATTACTCTTTGACCCCTCTATGTTGGAAACGTTTGTCATTATGTCCTTGAGAATACTGGGCCTTGGGGGAGGTTTTATGTATTTGTAGGTGACTATTGGGCTCAGGTTATAGACCCAAGCACGAGCCTTGGGTGCAATTTCTCTTCAATAAAACCTCTATCGCCGGGGTTTCTCTCTTCCCCAATTGCATCCCATCTTTCTTCACTGGTTTATGTGTTTTGAATTGATTTAATTTTTTGGGTTTGGTGTTTTCCCTTGTTTTGATTTGTTGTTCGTTGGTAATCCAACAAGAAAGATTGTATTTTTTAGAGAGTTGTAGAAGAAAAGGTTTAAGTTTTGTATAGTTTGAAGATGCAGAACATTAGGAGGTCTGTAATATCTAGTAAGAGCATAGGGTGCGGTTTCTTTGGATCATTGGTGGAATCTAAGCTTTTTTTGAATGATTTTGCATCAGCTGCTAAAAGGGTATGTTGGTATCTCCCACCATTCCTTGCTTTCTATGGGTAGTTTTCATTTTAATCATTACCGTTCTTTCATGATTTCATTTGCTTTGTTTGATGTCTTCTTTTTGCTTGCATACAGAATATGTTGTTCTTTTTGTTTGTGTTATTAGCTGACAAAGTAGTTGTCAACGGTGAGTTTTTATGTCAAATGTATGGATACCGTAGCATAAATTATATACTAGTTAGTACTTATTACTAAAAGAAAAATGTCTATGGGCCAATCAATTTTATTGGAGCTTCTTCTGCTTTTATGAGTTATGCCTGAGCCTTTTTTTACTTGATCAATATGATTAAATTATAGTTTTTGTAATTCTTATAAGAGTGTTTCTTATATATATTCGATCTGTTATCAGTTGCTGAATCACTTTTCTGATGACATACTGATTACTGCAGTCTTTAGCGGATCAGAATTCTAGTTTTGCAAGACAGTATGGGACAGGTACCAATAATATGTCAAAGGTGAGGCTGTAGTTCTCTTTCTATTAACAAAATTTTTTTCTGTTCTCTAAGTGGCTGCAGAGTGCAGACTAAGTGCTTTTTTTCTCTCTACATAGCTGCAAAGTGCAAACTAAATGCTTTCTTCTTTCATTCTGCAGGGTGTAATTCAAGCTAATGGTTAGTTATTTCTCATCTAAGTTTATCTTTCAACATTTATGGTCAATTTATTAAGGTTTTAGTCAATCCGGAATCTCGATTAGATCGGGGGAGAATAGTTTTCTCCCTAGGTTTCACTCACATTTACTTTATAATGATTTTTTTTTTTGAAATCCTTTTGGATCCCCCCCACCTAAAAAAACTCACCAAAAAATATCCAAATCCCTTAAGGAGTGAAGGTTATGGCCTTATGGAATTCTTGTATCGTTGTTATTAAAATCTAACTTTACAGTTAATGTCATTGCCCATTTAGCAATCTATTATGGAGAAGTTCCATGTTTGCCTTCATTACTTCGTTGCATAGAATATTGCTTCATGCATAAGTGACCAACATTTTGAAGTGTATGACGGTTAATTTCAAGTTTGATTAGCATAAGGATAATTGTTATCTTCTTTTCTCCAATATTTTTTCATTAATTTATCTGACAATTTTGTCTAGCAGGCACTCCTCTTCCATTTAGAGGACAGTGTGTCAGAGATTGTATAGTTAGGTTGCAAGCTTCCGTCCCTCACATAGAAAATCATGGATTGAAGCCCATGTCTCCTTACTTTTCTAGATCCTTTGCATCAAGAACTTCAAAGCAATCGAAAGAAACATCTGAGGTTTGGATCTTAGCTTACATTTTTTTGGCCTTTTGTGTTCTCATCTCTGTTGACTTTAAATAATGGGCAAAAATACTTTTCATGTTGCTTGTTTAGTTTGTAATTCAAATGTGTGACCGAGTGCATGTTTTATCCACTTAAATGGTGAGGTAACCTATGCCTTAATGCTGGAAGGATGCTGAAAAGGAATCTCCCAAAAGCGTTGGGGACTTATCATCTTCTTTCTTTCCTAATTGAGCATGAAATTACTTAAATTATTTCATTTTACTTCAGTTGTTGCATAGCAATAAAGATGAAAGAAAACATAAGCACTACTGAAGTTCATTTCATACCAAGTAAATTCCGTCTATGCATGTGAGAGCTTAAGGGTAATTGTGTACATCAAGGGCAGGGACAATTTAAGGGTTTTCTGAGTTGTACTCAACAAATGCTATACTGGTTGACATATAATTGTATGTATTTTCTAGTCCTGTGGGATTTATAGTTACTTGAAACTTCACATCAGTCACACTGAGTTGTCTTTATCCTTTTGGCAGACTAGAAAGGAATTATCTAACGTTGAAGATCCGTTTGATGCTCCTACATACAATATCCCAGAAAAGCCTGTGACATTTACAGAGGGTGCTAGCTACAGTCTCATAATCCTTGTTGGGCTCGGGATTGCTGCTGCTGCAGGATATTCTGTCTTCAAAGAGTTGATATTTCAACCAAAAGAGTAAGCTTCAAATGCCTAGTTGGCGGTTGAGTTACTAAGCTTCTCCCTTTTGTTACTTGCATCATAATTCAAAACCATGGTTTTATAGGTATAAGGTATTCAACCAGGCTCTGGAAAGGATTCAGAACGAAAGCCAGGTTTGTAAAAATTGCTTACCTGTCTTTGAACTAACACTCTGAAACAGTGCATTGGAGTTTGTTAATCAGTTCTCAAAGGAAACTACGAATGTCAACAGTACAACATGTATTTTAAGTTATACCGTGGATCTTCAGGCGCAAGCCTGTCAATATACATCTGCAGCATGGGCGTCGAAATAATATCTTAGAACCCCTAATTTGCATTGAATAAGAACAACTGATAAATTATAACAATGAGCACTACCATCTATTTGCACTTACTGGTCAGATTTCAGATGCTTCCTGCGTATACTGGCTTGATAAATTACAAGAATGTATCTGTTTTTCTTGCATGTATATATGTGATTCTAAGCATTTTGAGGTACCAATTAAGGGTTGTCATTCTAATTCTATGCCACATTGTATTATGTTTCTGTCAGGTTAGGGTGAGGATTGGACAACCTATTACCGGCTATGGTCAAGAAACTAGAAATCGTGCTGCTCGCCAACGTATTCCAAACAGGATATACACGGACGAAAACGGCATAGAGCATGTAGAGGTGACACTCTAGTCTTTACAAGATTGTTAGGAAAAAAAATTTATTCTTGAGATGTTTGTAATCCAACTTTGTATTAACACAGTTTTTTAGTGTGTCCTATATCTCTCATATGCAATTTATTGTGGTGATTGCTTCTTAACCATTTCAAACAGGTTAATTTCTATATTCGAGGGCCCCATGGAGCCGGGAAAGTTTTTGCCGAAATGTTCAAGGACAAAACGGACAATAAATGGAAGTATACCTACTTGATCGTTCAGATCAATTCACCTTCCCGGGCAGAATTAATGCTGGAGTCGTATTTACCAGCAGCGGAGATAAGGCCCTCCACAGCCAATTAACGATGGGGTTAACATATTTTTGCTGCGAATTAAAATGTTTCTGGATGATGATGAGCGTTGTTTCCAGTGTGCCTAATCTGATCATAGTCACCGGTTGAATTCTAGCTCCCCTCTAGAGTAAAATGTTTGAGATTTTACAGATTAGATTGAGAATTGTTCATTCATTAACTTATGCCCCTTGGTACTGGCGGAAGCATGGATTGAAATCTTAATCCTACCAGAATATGCTCGAAAAGATTACACAGGTTGCAGTTAATAATATTCCAGCATTGCAGTTTTATTTTTTTCAGTTCCTCGCCATGTTTAATGTGCCTTGAATGTTATCGGATCTATACATCATGCTCTTACCGGATTCATGGCTCGTAATCTGTTTTATTGGAATTTATATTTGAATTGGAACGATCAATGTTGAAGACGGTAGAGATTTTTTATACAAAAGACATTCGAGACATAACAATTGCAACTTCTTGATGCTCAAGCTCCTATTGTGTGGCCTTAAAAGGGTAAATGATCTTAACCCAAGCTAAAAATCACTCATCCAACAAGGTTCATACAGGAACAACCCATTCTCGTAAATGATTTTGACACGACTTTAGAAGCAAGTAAATGAAAATAAGAAAGTTTTGGTGATGTTTGATAACTAGTACATGATAAAAGCAACAAAGCTTGGAAACAAAACCCATATATGATAAAATGTAACATTTACTACAGTGATAATTTGACATGGGAACTTTTCCCACCACAAAATTCTTTGATTTACAGAGAAAAATTACAACAGTAAAAAGCTCCCCCATAGGCCACAACATACACGTTTAGTAGCAAACAACATGTGTGGACACTGGGTGCCATTTTCATCTGGTTCTGAAATGGGCAATATAGTATAACTGCATTAGAGATGAGATCTTATACCAGAACCCAGCACTGCAAGAGCTCACTAGAAAGTCCAGGATGGCCGGTCCTTTGCTGGGTACCAGCTGGGAAGCTACCAAACTGCATCAACCATTTTCGAGTTTGAATCACATCTCTTTGCAGATCACTATCCATTTCAGAGTCTGTTGGTCTGGCAACACATTATAATCTGCTGGAAACTGAAAATTTGACACAATCGAGTGGGATAAACACAATAAATAATACCTACCAAAACAAGAAGGAAACAGAACAAAGCACGATACCTGCCATGTTGTCGTCAAAATGTGTGTACTCGTGGAACATTTTCAAGATGGCGACAACAATGGGGTGAATGACATGGCCTTTCAGTTAGGCTGAAGATTTAAACAGCAACAACCAGAATTTTGTATGCTACACTGATTTGAAATCAAAACAAAGTAAAAAAACACATGAATATCACTTAATGAACTTCCTTGCATATGAGCTGAGAATCTAACCATAAACACTTTTTGTATCTAATGTTTCCAACCAGATGCATACATGATTCAAAGCTAACCAGAGACTTCCAACAAGAAGGAAACAGAACAAAGCACGATAACTGCCATGTCGTCGTCAAAATGCGTGTGTTCGTTGAACATTTTCAAGATGGCGACAACAATGGGATGAATGACATAGCCTTTCTGATAGGCTGGAGTTTTAAACAGTAACAACCCAGCATTTTGTATGGAACACTGAATTCGAAATCAAAACAAAGTAGAAAAGACATGAATATTCTGGCACTTAATGAACTTCCTTGCATATGAGCTGAGAATATAACCATAAACACCTTTGTATTCAATGTTTCCAACCAGATGCGTATATGAAACCTGCCATGTTGTCGTCAAAACGCGTGTGCTTGTGGAACATTTTCAAGATGTTGACAACAATGGGGTGAATGACATGACCTTTCAGTTAGGTTGAAGCTTTAAACTGCAACAACCCAGAATTTCGTATGGAACACTGAATTAGAAATCAAAACAAAGTAAAAAAAAAACACATGAATATTCTGGAAATTAATAAACTTCCTTGCATATGAGCCGAGAATCTAACCATAAATACCTTTGTATTCAATGATTCCAATCAGATGCATATATGATTCATGGCACACCAGAGACTTCCAACAAGAAGGAAACAGAACAAAGCACGATACCTGCCATGTTGTCATCAAAACGCATGTGTTTGTGGAACATTTTCAAGATGGCAACAACAATGGGAGTGAAGGACACAGCCTTTCAGTTAGGCTGAAGCTTTAAACAGCAATAACCCAGCATTTTGTATGGAACACTGAATTGGAAATCAAAACAAAATAGAAAACACATGAATATTCTGGCACTTAATGAACTTCTGAGTTCCTAGCATATGAGCTGAGAATATAACCATAAACACTTTTGTATTTAATGTTTCCAACCAGATGCATATATGATTCATATCTCACCATAGAATTCCAGTAGAAATATCAAAATAACAGATGGAATCATCATTTATCTTAGAAAAAACATCCTAACAAATCTAGGACCCATTTTCTGCTCTACTGTGTGTGCATGTACAAGTGCATGTGCGTGTGCACGTACATGTACGTTGGGAAGGAACCAATAGCTGATACAGTTGGCTATCACACAACAAATCAGATAAAATTGAAAATAAAAAACCTCATTTTATCCCTAATCCATATGCTGCCATAGTAGGAATTCGCATTTATAGAGTTTCCATATGAAGCTTGTCAAGAGGTTAACTTACCAAAAGCAGTTTTTTTTCTTTAGAGGGAAAACATACAAACTCTCAAACTCACATAAAACATTGAGGTCAATCATAATAATGTAACCAAACTCTTTAGTTTCGATTACTGATTTATTCCATGAAATTACAAGCCTAATCAGTTTCACATCTTGCCATTACACGCAAACAAATTTTCCACACGTTTCGAATAGGCAGTTACGGAATGCTATATTTTCACTAGAGCATCAAGCTTATTGTTTGATTTGTGAGCTTCCATACAGACAAACAAACATCTGAGCATAAGCTTTTGCTACTGGATTCTTTCACTTGAACACTTCCAACTAGGGGGGTTGAACAAGTAAACTAATTGAGAATGGCATTTTTCTTAGATCAGGTAAATAGAGATAAACCAGCCACTTTTTACTTTTCACAAAAGCAATTTCAAAGCAAGATTTAAGTCACACAATGCACACCTTCAATGACTTGTAAATCTTTCCAATCAATAGTGTCTTGGAATAATGGTGAGGCATTTACCTCGCGATCTCTTCAAAAAAGAAGAGGCACACAATACAAAACTTTATAATCCATTAAAAATTTAACTTCATCTCAAACCAGTCGAGGGCCAGTGAATTAAACCCCTCTTTTTCATCTCATAAGTTTGCTTAGCATGTAAAAATATAAAGATATAATGTCTGCAAGCCAATTAGAAGGGCATTATACTCGAATGTCTCAACCTATACACAGGCACACATCATGCCTTGAATGGCCACTGAAGCGTGTTTGTTACTCGTGCTACCTAGAAATAAAACGGTGGGGGGGAGTACTTTTACCATTCACAAGCACGCATCTTGCCTTGAATGGCAACCAACGTGTGTTTGTCATTCGCGCTATCTAGGGATAAAACAGAAAGAATAACAAGAAGTAATTACTTTTACTAAATAATGACAGTTTCCTAAATAAATTGAAGCCGGTAGACTAGCCGTTTTTGCTTCAACAAATATGCATTTATGAAGCAAGAAGGAAATATAGATCCAATGTTGCAAATGAATCATAAAGATGCATTCCTACCATATATGTTTCCATTATATTCCCCTCAAGCATTCTTTATTATTAACATAAGATGTAGTAGCTCAATAATGCTCACATGCTAACTATTTAACCCATCAATTACTACCATCTGCTCAAAACTACTCAAACTGTTGATTGCAAACACGTGCTCAGCACTCGATCGTTAATTTCTAAAACATGCTCAGAACCACTCAATCCGTTAATTATAGCATGTACTCAGAGCTAATGAATGGGTTGATTACTAACATGTGTTCATATCTACTTAATTGTTTGATTACTAACACGTGGTCATATCTACTTAATCCGTCAATAACTAACAAAACTCACAACAATGAGCTCAGAGCTACTGAATCGGTTGATTTCGAACACGTGTTCGGTGTCTACTTAATTGTTTGATTACTAACGCGTGGTCATATCTACTTAATACGTCAATAACTAACAAAGCTCATAACTACTATCCAAAAATTACGAACACATTTCTCCAATCAATCAACTGTCAGCACACTAAGAACATTTTATCTGACCAATGCATATAGGAAAGAACAAAATAAGAATGAAACACATGCACATCAAAACAATCATGCATCCCAAACTTTCTAGATTGATAAACAGTTATCATGCTCTAAATTATTTTCATATCTACTTAATCATTTGATTACTAACTCATGGCCTTATCCACTCTATCCATCAATAACTAACAAAGCTCATTACTACTATCTAATAATTGCTAATATGTTTCTCCAATCAATCAACTGTCAGCAAACTCAGAACACTTTATCTGACCGAAGCATGTTAGAAAGAACAAAATTAGAAAGAAACACATGCACATCAAAACAAGTATGCATCCCGAACTTTCCTAACTGATAAACAGTTATTGTCCTCTAACACGTGTTCGTATCTACTCAACCGTTTGATTACTAACACGTGGTTGTATCTACTTAATCGTTTGATTACTAACAGGTGGTCATTCTACTTAAGCCATCAATAACTAGCAAAGCTCATAAATCCAATAATTACTGACATGTTTCTCGAAGCAATTGACTGTTCGCAAACTAAGAACATTTTATCTGACTTATGCATGTAGGAAAGAACAAAGTGAGAAAGAAACACGTGCACATCAAAACTAGTATGCATCCCTAACTTTCCGGATTGGTAAACAGTCATGATGCTCTAATATGTGTTCAAATCCACTTAATCGTTTGATCACTATCACGTGGTCATATCTACTTAATCATTTGATTACTAACAAAGCTCATAACTGCTATCCCATAATTACTAATGTGTTTATCCAATCAATCAACTATCGGTAAACTACGAACACTTTATCTAGTTGATGCATATATGAAAGAACAAAATGAGAAAGAAACAAAGGCACGTCAAAACAAGTATGCATCATGAAATTTCAGGATCGGGAAAAGCATTATGCGCTTATATTTAACCAGTTCCTGGAAGAACTAACAAGTACTGAAAGTCTTAAGATCTAAACGATCTACCTTAAAAAACGATTTCCTTTTACATAAACTGAAAGGTAACTTAAAAAACTATTTATGAGTCTGAGAAGTTGTATTTACAATCTGT